ACCCTTTTTATCTTTTTCCTTCAATATTTTCTATTTTTCACCCTTTCCCCCATTCGTTCCCCCCCACCTTCCCTTCCTCCCCCCCCCATCTCAGGCCCGTGGGCTGTTCAGGCAGGGAGGGGGGGGGTCTCTTCCAGAGCCCCCCAACCTCTCACAGACCCCGCTGTCTCTGCTCCCCAGTGAGACCATCAGGGACACAGGGGAGCTCAGCAGGGAGTTTCTGTGGTGAGGTGGGGGGAGGTCCCGAGGGGTTTGGGTGCCCCTGCAGCCCCCCCAGGCTTCTGTGGGGTGAACAGTGCCAGGGTCCCTGGGGGTCCTGTGGGAGAGGGGCAGTGGCAGGTGGGGGGACAGAGAGGAGCAGGGGCTGTGGGGCTGGCAGTGGATCTCACCCTCACCAGCAGTGCTGGCACTGGGGCAGCAGCAAGAGGGGGCCTGGAGGGACCACCCTGGAGTCGGGGGGCTCCCCTGAACCCCAGTTGCAGATCTTGGGCACAGGGTGCAATGTGCCCTCGTGCCCAGGGCCACCGTGGGGCTGGCGTGGGGTTGGCTGGGACCCCTCAACACCAGGATCCCTGGACCCCGCTCTCCTCTCTTCCCTGCTCTCTCCTCCCTCTCCCGCTTCTCCCATCTCCCTCATTCCTCACCCTCTCCCTTCCCTTTTCCCATTTCTCGCTTATCTTTGATCATTCTGTCTCCACATGTCCAGGCAGTTCTGCAGTGCCCCCCTGCATACCCCCAGCCCCCCTCATGTGCCGGTATCACCCCCCCCTCCGTGTGCCCCCAGCCCCCCGTGCCCCCGGCACCGCGTGTCCGTGTGTGCACACGTGTGTCCCTGCAGGTGACGCAGGTGGCATGTCCAGCCTGACACGGGTGGGGGTGCAAGGCACGGGGACCCCTCCTCGGGGTGAGGCAGGGCCTGGGGTGCCCCCCAGGGGGGCTCTCTGTAGGGTGGTCCCCCCTCCCCTGCTGGATCCTTGGGGGGCTCACTCGTGGGGGGCCCCACGAGGGGCAGGACTGGATGTCCCCCTGCGGTGCCAGCACCTTTTCCAGGGCACAGCAGAGCCGGGGGCACCTCGGGGTGCAGGATCTCCGGTGGAGAGGGAACAGGGGACAGGACCCGGGGTGGGCAGGGACACGGGAGCAAGATTTGGGTGTCTCAGGACCGGGAGCAGTCGGGGGTACACACCGGGGGTCTCCGGAGATGGGGGGGCAGGGCCG